TAATAACAATAACAATAACAATAACAATAACAATAACAATAACAATAACAATAACAATAACAATAACAATAATAATAATAATAATAATAATAATAATAATAATAATAATAATAATAATAATAATAATAATAATAATAATAATAACAACATAATAAGTTTTGGTACACAATGTGTAAGAATATTATGGTTGTGGGATAAAATATTTCGGTGAAATTGCTCTGACCGTCATTAGGAGAATGAGAAAAGATGACCTTTCATTGCTCTGACCGTCATCAGCAGTGGCGCCGAGAGGCCGGGGTAACCGGGCAACTGTCCCGCGGCCCGCGCCCAGCAGGGGCCTGGGATATCTAGGTAAACATAATAAAATAAAATAAATACCGGTAAATAAAAACAAATTTAAAAAGTATACATTCATCCACTTTATCATTAATGTGTTTTCCCCCATAAGAACTGTAAATAAAGCTGACTGTTTAGCGATGAAAGCTCGTAATTAATCGCTTCTAATTCTTTTTCATTAATATTTTATCACTGTAAACCTTGACACTTAGGATATGTTATGAGTCTTTTCAGCTCTACGTTTGAATACTAAGAAGCATAGCTTATATTTTGCATGTTTCTATACTTTATTTTTCATGACCTGGTGAAATTAAGCACTAATCGATTAAATAATTAGTCCTCCAATTTGTTAAACTGCCATAGCTTCCAGAGAAGGGGGAGTTTCACCATCTGCCCCTCGATCCCGCTTGGACCCTAGGCGATCCTAGACCCCCAACCAATTGGTCGGGGCAGCGAAGCTGCCCCGGTGCCCACGGTTGCTCTTGGCGGCCCTGGTCATAAGGAGAATGAGTAAAGATAAAATGTAGCCATTTTCTGATGACGGTCAAAGCAATCTCGTCAACACACAACCAGTGTGTTATCTCAAAAACCACATGGTGTACCGAAATTATTATTTTATTTTTCTTAAGCGACCATTTTACCAAAAGCCCATTTTTTTTCCCATAACTTTTCTTTCTTGACAAAATCTAAAACCAAGGGCCATGAAATTCTAAATAATCAGTTGAGGGCGCTAATCCGCAAAATAAGGTGATTTTAGGTGATTTTTAACTACTTGACCATTACTTTTTGGAGGGCGACTGGGGGGGGGGCGAGTAATTTTTGGAGGGGCGTGCTCCCCCTGCGCACCCCTCTAGATACACCACTGCTTCCTACATCCGTGGTCATAGCTCATTTTTGGAGGGCCGTGTACCCCCACGCCCCCTCTTAGATACGCAACTGCTTCCTACATCCATGATCATAGCTCCTTTTTTTTTTACAAATTGAAGAGGAACTGAACAAAAATATCAAAGAAACGTCACTCACTGCTGAGCCCGACGGTTGTCGGCCGATGTGATTCTATAGAGAACGCAACGCCACGACGCGCGCGCAACGGATAGTTTTTAATTACTATCTGTTCTGACTGCTACCGTCAATCAGCAGACGGCGTTGCGTCGTTTATGGGCTCACGGGGAGCCGAGTTGGATTCGTTGGTACGACGCAGTGAGTGCCCGGCTTCATGGTAACATTGAAAAGAAAACAATTAAGCAGTGATGGAACTAGTGAATAGATAGGCCTAAGTCATTTGTATGAGAGACGGTCTAGACTTTAAATCTGTGTCAATATCGTATAGTAATTAGGCATTATTTGATAAATCACAATTAATACCCCTCCCATGAATACATAAACGGTTTTTTTCCTTAATTTTAACAATCCACAGTCAAAAGCTAGCATAGGGCAGTGTGTTCCACAGTCGTGTTCTGGTACAGAATTGACAGCACTTATGTACCGAAGTGAGTATGGATGACAATAAATTGATGAAATCAGTCAAACAAAAAATGAAATTATTATAGGCCTATGTACATTATTATAGCCTAGAGATAGACCTTTCAACGTGTCAATCAAATCGGATCATCTGACCATTAAAAAAAAAACGTTTAATCTAACTGATTTATTTTCTTCGTTCTTAAGAATACATAATTGATTTTGAAAATTTAGTTTGTTTTTGTTTGATGTTGTTTTAGTTTTGGCAGTCGTTTCCCCTCTACCCAAGGGTGCGTATGTTTATTTCTTTTGTGAGGAGGAGGTGGGATGGGATGTCGATGCCATTGTTACATTGTACGTATCATTTTGTTTGTCCTTTCAAAACTCTGTAGTAGTAAGTAGACACTTCTCTCCGTCATACTCATGTAATTAACAGAAAGTTTGTACACACCTTTAACTCAATAGGTTTCTTTGCTGCTCGTTTCTGTTGTGCGTCGTTATGGCCACCGCCTATGACATCTTCAGCTTGCATAAAGAACAGAAGAGTAAAGAGGATGGTAAAGTTAGGATCCAGTTGGAGGGAGGCGAAGCGACTCCAGAAGAAACCAACGCTTTAAATGATGACAATAAGATTAAGGAAGTGAATGGGGATGAACATGAAGTCGCAGTAGTTGAAGAAAATAAAGAAAAACCAACAGAACGCAAGAAAATGAAAGGTTTGATTAATCATGGAGGTTAACCCCTGGAAAAATAAATGTGCTATTTATAGGCAATATATGTATTTAACCATTAACAATTGTTATTGCTTTAGATTTCATTGGACACGTCACAATAGATTTGTTTGATTTTTTTTTTCTTTTTTAATTGAGTCTTTCATGTTACCGCAATATTGATCGCTCTTAACTAACGATCGTAACCATGGGTAGAAAAACATAAGGCAAAATTGAATACCGATAGTAACCCCTAACATAACGAACATACTGTAACCACTGGGAAAGAAGAAATAACAATCATATATAACCCCTAGGTAAGAAAACATAACGATATTAACCCTTAGGCACAAAGACATAATGATCATAACCCCTAGGCAAACAGACATAACGATCGTAACTCCTTGACAAAAAGACATGATCATAATTATATAACCCCTAGGCAAAGAGACATATAAACCCTGGGCAGAAAGACATAACAATCATAACCCCTAGGCAAAATACACAACCAATCATAACCCGTAGGCAAAAAAGGTATAACGATCATAACCCCCGAAGAAAAAGACATGATCATATATCCCCAGGCAAAGAGACATATAACCTCTAGGCAAAGATATAACGAACATAATCCCAGGCAAAAAGACATAACGATCATAGCCCCTGGGCAGAAAGACATACGGTAACGATCATAACCCCTAGGCAGAAAGACAACGATCATACCTCTTAGGCAAAAAGAAAATAACGATATTAACCCAACGGAAAAATACATAACGATCATAACCCCCTGGGTAGAAAGACATAATGATCATAACCCCTAGACAGAAAGACATAGTGATCATAACCCCTGGACAAAAGACATGATCATATTTAACCCTTAGGCAAAGAGACTTACAACCCCTAGGCAAAAAGACATAACGATCATATATCGTTGGGCAAAAATGCATAACGATCATAACCCCTAGGCAAAAAGACATAACGATCATATATCGTTGGGCAGAAAGACATAACGATCATAATCCCTAGGCAAAAAGACATAACGATCATATATCGTTGGGTAGAAAGACATAACGATCATAATCCCTAGGGCAAAAAGACATAACGATCATATATCGTTGGGCAGAAAGACATAAAGATCATAATCCCTAGGAAAAAAGACATAACGATCATATATTGTTGGGCAGAAAGACATAACGATCATAATCCCTAGGGCAAAAAGACATAACGATCATATATCGCTGGGCAGAAGGACATAACGATCATAATCCCTAGGAAAAAAGACATAACGATCATAATCCAAGGGCAAAAGGGCAAAAATACATAACGACTATAACCACTAGGCAAAAAGACATAACGATCGTAACTCCCGGGAAAAAAGACATGACGATCATATATAACGCTAGGAAAAAATACATAACGATCATACCCCTGGTCAAAAAGACATAACGATCATATATAAGATAGTATAATACATACGATGGCGTGCATTTCGATACTTGGAGTATGTATTATACTATCTTAGATTAATCAGTGGACCTTTCGGATGATGTAGAATCCCTAGCAAAATGCATAACGATCATAACTCTACACAAAAAGACATAACGATCATAAACCCTGAGCAAGAAAACATATCAATCATATAACCCATAGGCAAAAGGCATAACAATCATAATTATGTAACCCCTAGGCAAAAAGACATAACGAACATGACCACTCAGACATGTATTAGCATGAATTGTATCTGTTATTTCTATTGCCAAAACTTCTTATGTAACAAACATTATGAGGAAAACGTATTTATTATTTATCGTGTATTTGGTTGTAGGCATAGACATTGGAGATCTCGTGCGTGCATTTTCACTCGTGCATAACGCGTCGAAGATTTTTAACACAAAAATCCGACCGGGCTCATTCCCCGCCCTTAATGGTATCCGTGTGCTTAGTATGTTTTGGATTATTTTGGGGCATACTATTCAGTTTACGGGTTACAGAATCGGTAAGTGCAATATTAAATACTTTTGAAAACAATCATAGTAAATATGCTTAGAGTGTAACCTAGGTTTTTGAAAATATTAATTTTTTAACTCTCATTTTTGGCCTAAATTATAAAGGTTACTTTACTGTTTAGATAATGTCGGTTACGTATTGACCACCATATTACCGAAGTTCTACTTTGTGACGGTATGGAACGCCACGTATGCCGTCGACACGTTCTTTCTCCTCAGGTATGGTAACACTATAGTCAATTCCTATGTGTTTTGTCTTGTTTTGCTATTTCCTGGATGTTGAATAACAAAAATCAGGACGGTCCCCAAATATTACAAAATTAAAACAAATGGGGGATAAAAATATTACATTACATTTACATTGTGAGTCTTACAGTGCCATTTCCCGCACATCTAGAAGTGCCATAAGCATAAACATTTTGTACCGCAGCCCTAATTATAGTGGGGCTGAGGTTGTATCGACCCCTTATCTGTAAAATTGACTTTTTGACACCCTTCTATTTCAATTTCTGGTTCCGCTACTGTGTACATTGTACATTCGTGGCTCGAATAATCTTTTTTCTATTATCTTATTGGTGGAAAATCTACCATGAGTTGCTGTAAATTTTACGAAATTAAAAGTAAATGGGGGATAACAGAAAATTACATTAAAATTTTGAATCTGACAGTGCCATTTCCTGCCATCTAGAAATGCCATACATAACACTTTCGTACCTCAGCCCCAACCATAGTATGGCTGAGATTGTTTTGTTTTATTTCGAATTCAAGGACTCATAACTGTTTAATGTTGTACTTTTGTGGCGAATTATCTTCTATCTATAATATTATTGTTGGAGTATCGACAATGAGTAATCATTAGATATTAGGGTCCGTGGAGACGTTTGGCATGTCCTGAGGGCCGGGGTCCGCGAATGCAAAAAGGTTAGAACCACAAATCTAGACGTTACTATTTAGCACTGGAATTGCATGTGCCCTTTGTACAAGCGATTTCTTTTAGATGTTTAGGGGTTATTATATGTTTTGTAACGATACCATTTTACCTCCATTTCAGTGGTCTTCTATTATGCTATCTCACACTGAAAACGTTGAAAAAATGCAATGGCAAACTGAACTGGGGCCTGTTTTATTTCCACCGTTGGTGGCGTATTACTCCTGTTTACATTATGGCTTTGGCCATTTGGTCGTCTTTATTAATCCATCTGGCCGATGGACCATCTGCAAATGCAACGTTCAACGGTGCTAGGCAACTATGTAGGGACAACTGGTGGGCGAATCTGCTGTATATTAATAATCTATACCCTTTTCCTGGAAATGTAGCTAAAATGGTAAGACTATCATGACTCTGCGCAATAATACAAAATACAGTATGCGTTGTTTCTTTCCAATCTCACATCCCAAAGCAATTTGATAATAATAAACCAATTCGTAGTTAGCCGCTCATGCTCTTCAGAACTACGTTAACACTCTTTTTTTCTCTTTCGTGATGAAACCATCACCTTTATTTCATATAAACTTTTCACATACATTAAACAAAATATAGGCCTACAGATATACAATGTGTTAATTCGAAATACAAAATTACGGCTTTTGTTATTTTTAACAAAAAACATAAATAATACCAACAGACTCCGTCATGGAAACATATCTTTACCTGAGGTCCCTATCTCTTTCCCTTTTGTGTAGATTTTACCCACCTCAATTACTTTCTATTTTATTGTTCTATTTTTTATTGTTTTTTTTTCTATAAACTATTATTTACTCCTTTTGAACCAAAGGTCCTTTATATCATTTCATTCATTAGGCCCAATACAATGATCATCTGAAGCTTTCATTAATGAAAAAATAAGCCTTGATAGACAAATCATCCATATAAAACTCGATTGTTATTATTTTATATTTTTTTTTTGTATATTTTTATATTTTATTGCTATTATAACTCACTGAAAGTTTTAATTCTTATGTAAGTTATGCGCTGACATTGGTGACGATAAGCAATGTAAAAGCTTAACATTAATTTATAAGATCGTAAGGCTCTGTCCAATTTATTACGTTAACAATCTTTACAAAATCGAAAGTACTAAGGCCAATAAACAAAATTTTAAATCCAACTACAGTAAATGTCAATTAGGCCTACTAAAAGATTGCAAACTAGAGAGCACTCGGTGAGTGCATACCTCCGCCCACATAATTCTCCTCAGTATAAATTTCCTCCGCCTATTGTCCCCATAAAAAAAAAACTGAAAAAAAACAAAACAAGTAAACTCCTTCGGATTTGGACCCGGGGCTCGTAGTGTGGAAAACACTCTTCTAGCCACTAAATTAAACTGTTTTCGCATAATTATTTGTTTACACTTTACCGGCACACACACACACACACACACACACACGCACGCATCACACACACACACCACACACGTCTATACGGCAAACAGTTATACTAGTTTTTCGATCATTGTGTCCTTGACCTTTGACCCTAACCCTTTAAAATTTAGTCACTTCCAGATCTTTGGTAAAGAAACATTGTGGCCAAGTTTGACACATTTCTGATAAAAACTGTTCCAAAAAATTGTTTTTTTGTTGATTGTGACCTTGACATTTAACCCTTACCATTCAAATACTTTGAGATCTTTGGTCATGGAACATTGTGACCAAGTTTGACAAGTTTGTGAATAAAACTATGAGCTGTGGACAAATAAATAAAACAATTTTTCGTTGATTTTGACCTTGGCCTTTGACCCTGACCCTTCAAAATTTAATCAGCTCTAGATCTTAGATAAACGAACATTGTAGCCAAGTTTAATGAATTTCTGATAAAAACTCTGGGCTGTAGGCTGTTCACAACAAATATGCCGACAGACAAATAAATATAAATAAACAGGCAAAAACATAACCTCCTGCCAACTTCGTTAGCGGAGGTAACTACATGGGTGACTACGGATGATACGCAACTATATTAATCAGGTTAAACTTCTTGGTAAAATCATGTATCAGTTAATTTATTTTGTTAATTATTTTTGATCATATAAATTTGCTTTTTTTTAAGACTAAACTTTAATATATTATCAACTTTATTTCTTCCCATTTTGTTCACTTCACCCATTCACCCTGTGTTTGGTTAATATCATCCAACAGTGCATGGGATGGTCTTGGTATCTGGCAGTTGATATGCAGTTCTTCATCATCACTCCGCCCCTTCTGATTCTATTGTTTAAGTAAGTTTAATATGCCTAGCAAGTACAATTTAGCACACAGCATTCACATATCGTATTGTTGAATCCCGTATTATTCTAAAAACTTTAATGATTTAAAAAGGCCTATGTTCTATTTACAGACGACCCAGATTAGGAATCGCAGCGACTGCGGTTGTATGCGTTGTCTCGTTCATAACTACTGCGTCGTTAACGGGCTATTGGGGACTGAAGGCTGGCTTGAATTCTGGGTAAGATTCATTTAGGCCTAATTTATATTTGCGATAAGTAATATTTTTTCGAATAATTTATCAACCACGTTTAATGTTAATAAAGTGTTAATACAGAACTGATCATACTATTCGATGCGAATCAATTCATTTAAATATATCAAGAAAAATAATTAAATATTTTGAACAATTTATTATAGAAAAAAAAATAAACTATTCTATTTTCTGTGAAAATAAAGGTTTTACAATAACCGAAGCTTAGAGAATACAGGAGCTGATAGGATCTATGCAAAGCCCTACACCCGGATCTCAACTTACCTCGTCGGCATTTTAACAGGATATGTCATGTTTGCATACGAAAGCCGTAGGCCTAAAATCCCAAAGGTTATAACATTTATGTTTAATCAATTTTTATTTATACATATATAAACCTATTTATATATCTATATATTTATGCTGATATACGCTAAGCTCTATATAAATTGATGTAAAATATATATTCCTGTATGGCTTGTATGATATATAATTCATATCATTCACACACACACACACACACACACACACACACACATATATATATATAATCATTCATTAACTGTACTTTGTTCACCGTCGTTTACAGTGGGGATTGGCTGTAGGGTGGAGTGTTTCCACCATTCTGGCAATGATAGTTATATTTGGTGTCTGGAAAACAAGCAGCGGGAAGGAGCTAAGCCAGGGTGCGGCCATCATGTACCACACGTTCAGTCGATTCTCGTTTGCTCTGGCCGTAGCTTGGGTCGTACTTGTTTGCGTTTTCGATTACGGAGGTAATATTAATTTCTTTTTTTAATTCAACAAATTATAAACATTTCCCTATATCTATGGAATCTCCATCTTATAATTTCTAGTATGAAACCTATGACAGGAGGAGAGGGAATAGTGACATAGAATAGGATACTGCTTAAATGATAGAAATTTTAACAAGGGTACGAATGCAATATTTTAATTGAAGAAAGCTTAATTACAATTGAATCAACGTTATCATTTACTGTATTTACAAAGCTTAGCTTATTAAGACGAAATGTCCAGCAAAATACAAATGTGTATAAATATATGTTACAATACATAGTGTAGAAATAAAGTTTACAACGATGACGATAACTGATTGAAAGAAGATGGTGGTGGTGGTGGTGGTGGTGATACGACGATAGTAACAGTAATTGTGGGTATCATGCGACGCCTATACTTATTATAGTATAAATCCTTTCTGAAATAGCATAGTTTGTTATAGATTATTATTTGTATGTTTTTTTTTTTTTTAGGGCCCGTCAACACGTTCTTGTCCTGGGGTATTTGGGCGCCACTTGCTCGCCTCACATTCTGTGCATACCTGCTCCACCCAGTGTTGCTATTTTTGTACATCTTTCCAAGTAAAGTCCTCTTTCACTATTGGGGTTTCCAAACGGTAATTTTTTTTTCTTTTATGTACTGATTCATTCTGATATTAATGTATTAATAATTAATTTAGTTTTTGTAACACAATGAAATATATCCCAAAAAATATCGACGGTAACTATAGCAGATTAAAATAACTCTAACGCCTAACTGACCCGTGCACTATCATATACGCCCTTAATTGTGGCTAAACAACCTGGTGGAAGAATGCTACATTACTAAGTTTTAAGCCCCCAGGACTGTTCTAAACCTTAATTCTCACTATAATAAACTAAATTCCGCATTTTGGACTATGGACGTAACTGTTGTACACTGGCCTAATAAATATCCACATGCACCCAGTATTTATGTACAACCTGTAGGCCTATATTTTTTAATATGTTCGTTCGTTCACTTTTCAGTTTTATACTTTCATCGCAACAATAGTGCTGTCTTATGCCGCTGCATTTGTGTTGTCAATAGTTGTAGAAGCACCAACAATGGGCCTGGAGAAAATGTTTTTTTCGCAAAAAAACTAAGTGACGCAAAAGTAGTTAGCATATGTATTTTGAACCTTACATGATTAGGATAGCTTTATGGTTTAGTATGAATGAGGTTAGGTATAATTGAATACTCAGGTTAGATGTGTTTATTATCTCATTATATACAAATGAGGCTGTATTGTATACCGTATGTTGTAAAGTACGCCCGGAAGTTAGGGTTGAGGGCCAATTGACCTCATTGATCTTGTGTGTACTGTAGTCGAAGCTGTTTAAATGTTTAGTCATTAAGTTTTCACTATAAGGGATCAGAATGTAGTAACACAATTTTAAAAGTTGTACACGTTCGTTGGATAGGTTAATTATTTGGAGTACGCATGCACTCAAATAGTTTTAAAATAATTGATAACATTATAGAACTTCCATGGTATGCAACACACTGTGTTGATTCATAGCCATGGATATAGTTTTGATACTTGAACGTCAATTGTGGGTGGTTTTCCTCACAAACGAACTACAGTAGTCTGAATGAAAAACAATGTCTTTTAGTTAACCTTTTCGAAAGACCTACTCATAATTATTTTAAAATTATATAGTTATAGTGTAAAATATAGACCCTAATCATGTGACGGTAATTTTATTAAATTATGTTAGTGATGGAAACCTATTTTCTCAATTGTTCTATATTTAGGCACTACCCTCAACAAACAACAAAATCAATTAATTTATACATCAAGCAGTCCATTGATCGATCAACAACCGTCATCGACAATCGTATTACCAGAAGCACGTAAGTGCTACAAATTAACCTTTCCCGTTTCCCACGATCAACAATTTAGCACCATTTAAACCAAGAAAATGGGGGAAATTGAAAAGAAGGCTTCAGCCGCTACAGGTGAATCGGAAGTTGACCTTTCGAGCCGTCAATTCAGATACCGAAGCGGGAAATTGAAAAACGCTAACGAAATAATTCCAGAATTGATCTTCAAAGCAGATATGACTTGATAATCGCGAACCTAAATGAAATCTATACAAGAATTGATAAAATAGAAGAAAAGCAAAGAGAACTTGAAAAGGCAATTACCTACATAAGTGATTCTGTCTTCGATTGTGAGCAGAAAAATTATCATGTTTTGCAAAGGACCTTATGCAATGTCATCGACGATTGAATCAAACCAAAACACAACAAATAATCAAAATAAAAGTTATTCAAGAGGGTCTAAATATAAGATTCGGTGGCATCGATGAAGATTAAAAGTAAAACGCAATATCAAGATTAAAAGAAATTATAGAAAAGGATTTTCACTTTACCAAACATCCAAATAGAAAATGCACATACAATTACAAGCTTTTTGATTAATGTTTAACATATCAATATTTTCCCACTTCAAACCGTAGTTAAAGACCCTGTTTATTGTCTTCACGTTACCATTAATGAATGACGAATACGACGACAGAACTGCAACCAAATGCAGAGAAACAATATAAGCCTACTGATATTCTTCATACAGATGAATTTAATAAATCTTCAGACTTCAAACAATCAGGGATGACCTATTTGAAGAATTAAAAAAATGAATTTAATTGTACTGGGATCTCCAACATATTTGGGATGACTTTGATAAAGGCTCTATGGAATATAAACATCATTTGCTTTTAGACAGCTTAACAGAGATTAATATTGATTATTTAGGCAACATTTTTGATCATTATTGTAAAAAAATAACCATCCTCCCACTATAATGGAATAGGCCCTAAACAAGATATCATTGAAAACACGTCTGTTTCCTCCTTTATTAACTTTGATTTGATTATTTAATTATTAATTTGTAGTTTGTAATTATAACAAAACTTAAATCCAATAAAACAAATAGTAAATGCCGAACTGGTATCCTATGAACCTAACTTCCCTATGATTCTATATTTCATGGTTACTTCTTGTACAGTACTACATCCCATTTTGTGTTTTTTACTTGTATGTAATTGATTATTTATTAATATTATGGTATGGTATTATTATTATTATTATTGATTACATTATTATTATTATTATTATTATTATTATTATTATTATTGATTACATTATTATTGATATTTGCTATTGATTATTATTATTTATGTTATAATTCAGTTAGCTTGTATTTCTCTTGTCGTTTTATCATTTTAAAAAAAAAATTAAGTTTGTATTTTTCCCAACTTGTTATTTGTATGTTTCATGGACGCACCACTATTTTGTGTGTGCCACTGTTTAAAAAGTGAGAGCCAAATAAATACTGAAACTGAAACACTTCCCTTTTTACCCACAATTGACATGAAAAGATAAATAATAAATGACAAGTTTCAAAAACAAGGACCATTGACATCCGAATCAATATAAAATAGGGCAAGTCATTGACCAGCATACATAGCCAATGATTAGAAAATAGCAAATTCATGAATAACCGACACTAAATCATGTGATAATCACTATTCTGAACTGGAAATAATAAACAATGAAAGAAAATACGCTTACCTCACTGGAGCTCTGAACCTGGAATATATCCAATAAAACCTCAAAGTCGTTCATCCCTTGATAAACAAGGCTACCAGGGTAACTGAAAACACAGCCACAATTACATACAACATAATACCCCAACTCAAAATACAATAGCTCCATATTATACAGGTATAATATTTTGCGATATATCAGCACCATGATAGAAAATATACAACCAAAAGTATTTCCTCAGGAGTGAAACATCTACCTAAAACACAAACGCGTTTAGACTGACATTGAGACCCAACAATAGCAAAATGTCTTAAACGCAACCAATGCGAATGACGCATACCGGGAGTTTGTTAACCAATACATATTAGTCAATAAACAGGTGGTTTCTATACAAACAATTCCGAGTGCTAGGTAGTGTATCGCCAAATCAGTTAACAAGAGAAATAAGCTATTAAAAATAATTACAAGAAAAACCCATTCTCTAACAAAACAGAGCACACTAAATAAAAGAACTTCCTAAAATATTAATAGAAAAAGAGAATACTATACCCAATTTGAAATAAATAAAAACAATATGAAAAAACCTGGAATAATATAAATGAAGTACTTGGTACAGAGGAAAAACGGAACTCCCTCATACGCTCAACTCTGAAACACACTTTTATAACGCCAAAAGGAAAGCAGAAGTATTTACACTCACTTTGTCAAGATTGGAGAAAACGAAGATGAAGCAAAGTCAAACATTAAATACTAAAAGTTCAAAATCCTACTTAAAAGGAAACCACACGAAATCCATGTTCCACAAGACATTATATTTTAAATAGGCTTATACAGTATAAATATACAAACAAATCACCTGGCCATGATGAAATAGGAGCCCATAATTGCACGCATAATTGCACGCATGATAAACTTATCCATCGAAACATGCTGCTTTCCAGAAGACCTAAAATCGCCAAAACCGTACCTGTTTTTAAAAATGGGGATCAACGAAATAATATTTTCGATCTTGACTTGCTTATCAAAAATTTAAGAAAGGGTTGTCTACTATCAGACGTGCTCAGATCTAAAATTACACACTGAATAATTTGCCAAAACCATTATGCTAGTCATGCACTGCTATAAACGATCGAAACAATTAAATTTGCATTTAAAAACAAATCATTTATTATTGGTGTATTCCTGGATTTATCAAAGGCTTTTCATTCTATTGATCATTAAATTTTATTTAAGAGGCTAGAACACTACGGTATAAGATGCATTGTACTGGAATGTTTCAAAAGCTAAGAGGCAGCAAACAGTACGTAAACATTGATCCCTACCCCTCAGAAAGGGGGTAAAAATATGTGGCGTTCCACAAGGATTTATAATATTAGGACCGCTACGGTACTGTTTCTAGTATTTTTAAATGATATACATTAAAACATATCGAATTAAGGCCCTGAGCGGCTTGTTCTCTTTTTTTTTTCTTTTTTCTTTTTTTGCGAACTTTGAAAGGCTTCTTTTCGAGATGGGCTTCTTTTCGAGGCTACTTCTGCAAAGTAAAGAGGGGGCTTCTTTTCAAAATGAATACTGTAAAGTTTTAGAACTACTACATAAAACAATAAATAGGGCCACTGTAACATCATTCTGTATCATGGAGTGTATTAACCGGCATTAAATCACCTTAACTGCAGTAGAACTCATTTAAGCATTATGTACTACTATTCAGGGGAAGCGACTGCTAGGCACTTACTATTAAGAATATTTTAAATTTCTATAGATTCAATTATATTTGGAATTTTAATTAAATAAACGATAATTTTCTTAATATTATCACCCAAAAGTATACGATACTGCTCTACAAAATGGACGAAAAATGCTTCTACAAAACCCATGTTTGCTTTTATAGAGCAAAGTTAAAAACAATTATGTTACGGAAGATTACGATTTAAATTTTAAAGTTAAGGCCACTTTTATCGAGATTCCGTTTGTCAACACATAATTTATTTACAGAGAAAGGAAGACATAAAAAAATTGTTAGAGAAAATAGAATTTGTTTTAGTCTGTGATATTGGAGAATAAAGGATAAATTACACTTTTTATTTAGCTTTCAGCTCTCCATGCGTGAGTGTTCAATTATTAAAATGATCCCCAAGTCATTCACCAATAGAAGATCGTTTGATCGTTCAATCTGGTTAATTTAGGTAGTTAGAATATTTAATTTAATGTACTACCTTATATTCATATTATTCATTCATAGCGATATTTTTAAAATGTTCAACTCTTAATAATGAAGTACTCCAACGCTATAGCCTAGCCTAGCCTAAGCAAGATTTATTGCCACTGGGGGTGAGTGACATGACCTAAAGATTTAACAGATGCATTGGTTTGATTGATTTCTGGGCCCTTTGTTAAATATTAGAAAGCCAAAGTTATAATCAGGGAGATGTAATACATGCTCATCTGTCCCTGTTATAACCAGAGTCGATTTTGCAACATGGGTGATTTTTTAAATTCATTTATTCAACAATATTTTGAGAGGGTAGCTCAAACAGCAATGCTACAGAAATTCAGTAATTATGAAATTGCAAATCAACCTTCAAATTTAATTGTCGCTAATAAATATTTTGAAACAAAATTTTTTCTTGTCTGTGGGCTAAAAATATTCTGTGGGCTAGTAAAATCTCTAGTAAACTAGCCTTGTGGCTAGTTACCAAAAAAAGTTTGGCAAGCCCTGATAAGCCATGTACAGTATTTAGAAATAAAAAAGATTTAAGATTACTTGCAATATATATTGAAAATGTTTTAGTTTAAGAAATGACCGTCTAAAAGGAATTAATTGATTTTGTTATGTAATACGGTCCAAAATTACGAAATAAAGAAAGAAAGAAAAATTCAGGGGACACATAACCAAAAACGTGAAATTGTCCCCATAATAGGGGTTTGTGGTATGTTTTTTTTTTATAACGATGGAATACATTCTTTACAATTATATTTTTATTGACGTAATTAGTTACAGTAGAATTAGAACTAATTTATAGAAATAACAATAATTTACAAGGCAAATACAATTCATTTATATTATGAAATCAGCAGAAATTTAATCAAAACAACAATAGTTTTATATGTTCCCAATATTATTTCATGATGGATGTAATGATAATGACTAAATATTTTTTGTTTTTGTTTTAAA